CTGGGAAGGGGAGGGCAGGAAGCAGTGGGCCTCTGGGAAGGGGAGGGCAGGAAGCAGTGGGCCTCTGGGAAGGGGAGGGCAGGAAGCAGTGGGCCAGGCCGTAGGAAAAGCAGAAGCCCACCAGAGTGTTTCCCAAGGCAGCAGGCTACAGCGTTCAGCCCCTGAGCCTTCATGCTCTCCCCTGACTTCCTCCAGCTTACCCTGCAGGGCCACCACCACCTTCCCCAGGCCAAGGGCACAGTCCATGGTTCCTTTCACTGTGCTCCCCAGCCCCTGCCCTGCCCCTTCTTAGGAGGCAGCACCACGGTCCTGCACTGGTGGCAACAGCTGTGAAAGGGCTTCCCCTGCTGGCCTGTGAGTTTCTCAGAAGCAGTGTCTGGGTGTGACCGTCCTCTTCCTTCCCCCACTACAACCCAGCGCAGGCCACGATCTTCACCTTCTTCTCTGGGGCACTTGGGTGGGGGTGGGCAATTGGCCACTGGCCCTTGGTCACCTGGGTTGGCCTTCTCTAGGAAGCCCTTGGCATAGGGTGTAGCTGCAAGCTGTCCTGTCCCCCACAGGTCCAGTCCTTGGTGGCACCAGGCTTCAGACATAAGAGGATTCAGCTCTGGCCCAACATAACCTGGGCAACCTCCTATCTTGGGCAGAGGGACCTAGCCCATCTCAGGGTACCGGGTTCAGTCTCTGATGGACTCACAGGCCTTGCAAAAAAGAAACTGAGGTTCTTGGAACTGATGCCTCAGACAGTTTCCGGTGCCTCCTGTCAGAGAAACTGCCACCCAGTGAGAAAACATCCTACTTCTAGCTTACCACAAATAAGGCTGTCACCCAAATGCCTCCCTCTTCCACCCAGCCTCCATCCCATCACTGGGGATCCTTACTCCACACCTCGTCCCTGCCTTCAGTGCTTGTTCCTCTCAGTCTAATGGGAGATGCACACAGGTGAACAGAAAACAACAAACTGAGCTGAGGCACAGGGATAGGGCCCCTCAGTTCACTAGGGTGCCCTGGAAGGGTTTTGTGGGGAGGGCAGATCCTGAATTACTCAGTCATGAAAGCAAGAAGAGGTTCAGCAGACAAAGGGGAGGGCTGTGGGGAGGGAAAAGGAGGCGGGTCCCAAGGGAGCAAAGTCAAGCATCTGAACGCATGCAGGCCTCCTGGAGTCTCCTCCGGGGGACCAGGGCCCTCTGAGGCCACCTGCATTCAGACCTGTGTCACAGGAAGGCCCATGCCTATCTTAGCTTCTCTCCATAAAGTGAGCAGGCCAGGTTCTCACAGTCCCCTCCTTGAGATGATGACACTGGAGAAGCTGTCTCTTCAAAGCTAGTGGCCAGGAAGGAAGGAGCTTTCCTTGCTGCTACCTTTGCCCGTGCTCCCCTCATTTAAGGCTGAGAACTCCGAATTTGCAGTAGTTTGTTTGTTTGTTTGTTACTGTTTTTTTGTTATGTTGCCCAGGCTGGACTCCAACTCCTGAGCTCAAGAGACCTGCCTGCCTCAGTCTCCCAAGTAGCCAGGACCACAGGTGTGCTACCACGCCCGGCTCACCTTGTTTTTAAGACAGCAGTTGAAGCCATCACTGCATGTACCCTCCCCACCTCCTCGTCCCTCTCTCCTATAGACAGGCATGATTTGTGCTGGCAAACAGGAAACCAGAGCCAGTGGATGGCGGAACAGGCCAAAGAAAGCAAGAAATCCTGCTTGTGCCTTCTCATTCCCGGGCCGAGGTTGTGTCAGCAGGATCTTTGGAGAATTTGGGAAAAATAAAAAGATGCCCAGGCTTCAAGTCCAAGTCTCAACCCATTCAGTTGAGTGGAGTGAGGTCTGACTATCCATAATTTTGGCAGTTCCCGAGAAGATCTAATATGCAGCCAAGGTTGAGAATTGTTCTCAGTATTTTGAAAAAGCAGGGGTTAACAATCAATCCCCTGAATTCCCTGAATGCCGCAGGCAGGATGGCCTAGGAGTTGGATTTGGGACAGGCCGAAAGGAGCAGAAGGGGAGCCTGCTTACCTCTTCTGGGAGCACCAGAGCCGACTGCCCCTGGCTGCGCTCCACTCCGCATTGCACGGCGGGAACGTCTGCTTCTCTTGCAGTTCTAGTTTGTTTGCCTCCAAGCCTCTGGTGATCGTGGCTTCTACCTGGGTCAGTGCCGGGGTAGGCAGCCCATCCTCTCCGTAGAAGCGTCCTGTCACCCTTCCTGTGATGACAGGAAGGCAGATATGAGTGAGAGAGAGGGTGAGAGTGAATAGATACTGAACTGCTGAGGCAGGGGTGGGAAGGCACAAGTTCCCAGGGTTTCTGACTTCGGTCCTGCTGCTGTGCGTTTATTAAGAACTTCTACTGCAGGGACTCCGGTGCCTTGCATACCAACCTCTCAACATCCTAGAAAACCCCACATAACTGCATGCCTGTTCTAGCTGTAGACTCCTTTATTACAGAAACTATCAAATCTTTCTCACTTCCAGACAATGCTTCCCTGAGGGCAGAACCGTGCGTGATTCATTTCTCGATACTTCAGTGTGCTTAGAGCACACAGTGGGTATTCAACTAATGTTTGATGAATGAATGGCTTATTGGCTAACATGTTTATTATAATAGAGAGGGGATCTCACTCTGTTGACCAGGCTAGTCTTGAACTCCTGGGCTCAAGTAATCCTCCCACCTCAGCCTCTCAAAGTGCTGGGATTACAGGCATGAGCCACCGCGCCCAGGCAGGCTAATAGTTCTGCAGCTCCATTTTCTCCAACATCAAATTATTTTGCTTTATACAGAT